TTCTCCACAGCCAGGAAGAGGATGGTGCAGGGAGGGAGCCCCAGCCATGACTCACTCACAGCTAATCCCTGGCAAATCTATCACCATGGAAACTGCCAATCATCCATGCTTTTCATAGCTCAACCGAACATCTGCCAGGAGAAAAAACAAGTGGTGCAGATCGTTCACCCTGCCTCCATGTTTACTTTGGGGCCCTAGCAAACAGAGTCAGGGGAGAATAGCTTGGTCCCCTCTCTGCTTCCTAATTAGCTGTATGATCTTCATCAGGTCCTTCCCAAGCCTTTATGCACCCTTCCTTCCCCAGTCAGGAAAACAAACTCGGATCAGAGGTTCTCAGCCTGGTTGAGAGCTGCCGAGGAGGCCCTAAGTTGGCACATAGAAGCCTGTGTGGCAGACACGCTCTTCAGTGTGATAATTTTACATGTGGACTGTTACAAAATAATAATTTCATAAAGTGCAAAAAAATAAATCTGTGTTTGTGAATATATGTCTGTGTTGGGGAGTGGATGCCTGTTCATGTGTGGGGTGTGGCCGTGTGTGTGTACCATGGGACATTCGTGGCAGGCAGACAGAGGACAACCTTGGAACATCAGCCCTCACCTTTCCACCTTATTTGAGATAAAGTTCCTGCAAAAAAAAAACAGGTTAGCTGACTTGTACCTTCTAGAGATTCGTGTGTCTCCACTGCCCATCTCCCGGAGGCTCGCTGGGACTGTAGATGCTTGCACTCCTGTGTCTGGATTTTATGTGGGCTTCAGTGACCAGAACCCAGGTTAGCAGGCTTGCTTGGCAAGCACTTTACCCAGCAAGCCTCTGTCTTAGAAAATACATCTCAACCAATATTCTTAGTTGTCTCAAAAGAAATACAGACACCCTCCCTGGAACAGAATTTGCATTGTGATTATCAAGAGGGTAAAGTGATTTAAAAGACAGTAAGTTGAAGAGACTGGGATATATCTTAATGGTAGAGTTTCTGTTCCTAGCAACACACACACACACACACACACACACACACACACACACAAACATGAAAATGAGAGAAAAGGTAGCAAGTTGAGTGGCTGGCCTGGCAACTGATCTCATGTTAATTCAGCTCAACTCTCCCTGCCAAGTGGCATTCCCAAGCTGCAGGCCACTGCTGATTCTCATCTGGAGAGGAGGCTCACCACCATATCACTTAGACCAGGCACTGCTCCCCTATTTTACTCACCAACTAGGAGAGCATCAGGACCACAGCCTCCTGGGGACCCAGTGACACTCTGGGAGAACAGCATTATGAGCAGCCACGGTGAGGTGAGCCTCCTGTCCAGGCACAACAGCTACCCTGGCCTCTCTGGCTCAGGGTCTTCACCTGGTGGGAACTCTCTGCCAGGCCCAGGAAACTCATGGAACCCCTTGTCCAGTGTCTTGGAGGGGTGGGGCAGGAGGGACCAGTAAGCAGTTTTAAATGTTAATCTCTTTTTTTTTTCATTTCTTCCCTTTTCCCTCATTCTTTTTCTGTCCATTCAAGAGGAAGCTCAGCTAGATTTGATTGGTGGCTTTGGTGAAGATGTGCAGAATTCACCCAACTATTGTTCAGGTTTGTTCCTCCACAGCCCAGGGTCCTTATGATGTTTCACAGATTCAAAATAGTAGAAGAGAATCGGGCAGATGGCTGGTGACAGCTTGGGGAACCAGAACAGGAACTACATCACTCGTGGGGACAAATCAAATAAAATTACAGGGGTCCCTTGTTCAAAATCAATGAAGAATTTTAGCAAAAGCAAAGCATTACACCAAGGGGAGGCCCTTCTCTCAGTGGGAGCTTGTGTGAATGTGCTGGTCACACCCTAGGGCAGAACAACTCCCCATCACATTCACATAGAAGATTGGCCCTAGGGTTAGGAGTAAGGAAAGGTAGGCCCACAGAATCTGAGATAATAAGGACCCTGGACCCACTCCCTGGCAGTACTGGGGGGACCCCAGAGAACCAAGGGTCTGGGAAATACTTAGGCCCTAAATGTAGGGCTCTCAAATTCAGCAGGTTTCTCGTCTCCCAAAGCAGCTTAAAGGCAGCAGAAACATGAAGGCCCTTCAGAGAGGACCTGGGAAGGCCTGGCTCTGTACGCAGATACACAACAGCAAGACCATCTAAAGTGCCTTGGCACTGGGTAAGAGCCCCAAAAGCTGGAACTGATGGAACCATGGCAGCACTGGGTAGAGACATCCTGAATGGCCTGACCAGCGCTGGCTTTGAGTCACAGGGGTAGGGATGAATCTTAAGTCACCCTGCTGGGTGGAAGCTTGAGTCAGAGACAGACTCTCTCCGTTTTAGAAAATGAAAGAGATACATTGTTCCGCCCAACCAGGACCTGCACACCAGGAGTCTACCTACACAGCCCTAGTTTCAGGCTCATTTCCAAGGTTGGGGATGGAGTAGAGGGGTGTATCTCACAACAGAGTGGTCAGGTGGTAGAGTTGAGAGCAAGTGAAGAGAATCCAGTGCTATTTGGAAGGTAAACTTGTCAGGACTTGGAGAGTTCTAGGAGGAAGATGGGAGTAGTAGGGCTAAGTCCCTGCTGCTGGACACCATCCCTGAGAACAGGAAGGAAAGAGAAAAGCCAGTTGGAGGAGGGAAGAAAACAGTTTGGTTCTGAATTCATTGGGTCTGAAGCATCCCAGATGCTATACAGGCCACTGAAGAAACTGTGGGGTGTGCTGAGGAGAAGCCTGTGCTAGCTGGGTGAATGTGGGAGTCCTCTCAGCTTTGTGGGTGATCACTAAATAAGGGGATTGGGAAAGATTAAGAAAAACCGGCTGGGGAAATGGCTCTGATGGTAAAGTGCTTGCTGTGTAACTGGAGGACCTGACCCAATCTCTAAAATTCATGTGACAAAGCCCGGTATGGTCCATGTGCTTGTTGTACCAATACTGGAGAGTCAGGGGCAAGCAGGTCCTTGGAATTCACTGGCCTGCCAGCCTGGCCAACTTGGCAAGTTCTAAACTGGAAAGAGACCTGGTCTCAGCAACCAAGGTGGCTAGAACCGGGGGAATGACACCTGAGGTTGTCCTCAGCCTCCATACGCACACCCATCCATACATACACACTCACACACAAAAATAAGGGAAAGAAGAGAAGGGCTAGGCATAGCTTGAGAAAGCCAAACATCTGACAGGCAGACAGAAGAGGAGATGAGAGCAGGGGCAGGGAAGGCACTAGTGGTGTGTGACGGGCATTCAGACGGAAAGGGAAGCAGTGGCTAGCGGGAGGTCAAATAAAGCAGGAAATCAGACACACTCACTGCTTAGTACCACAGAAGCCACCCATGACCTCGGAAGGATCCCTTTCATTTGGGGAGGCTCTCGGGAGAGTGTGGCAGAGTTGAGCAGGAGGCAGTAGGAAATACAGATAGGATCGACCTCACCTTGGGCCTTTACCAGAGAAGAGGGTAGGGTTGGGCAAGATGGTTAAAGTTAAGTGTTCCTTTCATTTAAACAGCTTTATTCAAGCATAACTCAGACTCAGTAAACTGCATGTTTTCAAGGAGAGAGTCAGATACACTGTGAAGCTACCAGCATAACCCAGAATGTATTCTTCATCCTGAAGTGTCCTGAGCCCAGCAGGCCCTCCCTCAAATCCCCTTACCTCTGTCCCCAGGCATCCTCCTGCTAACTAAAGCCCCACTTCTTCTAGAATGTTATATAAATAGGGTTTATGTGATTTTACTTTTTTAACATTTTGCGTCTTTTCTGTCTGACTTGAATATACAATGTTGATAAGCATTCCAGAAATTTTCATTTGGGGACTCTATAAATTAAGCCGCTCTGAATATTGTATTTCATTTTTATTTATTTATTTACTTACTTACTTACTTATTTGTGTGTGTGTGTGTGTGTGTGTGTGTGTGTGCGCGCGCGCGCGCGCGCGCGCGCGTGGGC